CGCATCAACGTGACGCAGCGGCATCCTAACACGCCTTGCCGGAGGATGTGCGTTGTGGTGCGGTGCAGTGGTAAAAATGTTTGCACCATTTATTGGCGGCACAATACAACGCACGTCCCCCGGAAAAGGCATTCAGACTGAAGAGCACAGCCGAGCGTCGATGCATTTACCGTGTGTTGCTGCAGGTGGCATCTGATGGATTCAGCACTTTCTAAACCCCACCCCCCATGCAGATCACATGCTCTGGTTTCACTGGCTGCTTGATTGTTCAGGCTCAGTCTGCTGCAGCCAGGCACATTGGCATTTCCAGGCAGCCATGGCACAGCGCAGGATTTCCCAGTCCTGCCTCCAGCTGTAATGATCGTTTTCTGCCAGCAGGTGGCGGCAGAGCGCAGGATTTCCTATGACCGGTTCCCAGTCCTGCCTCCAGCTGTAATGATTGTTTTCTGCCAGCAGGTGGCGGCAGAGCGCAGGATTTCCTATGACCGGTTCCCAGTCCTGCCTCCAGCTGTAATGATTGTTTTCTGCCAGCAGGTGGCGGCAGAGCGCAGGATTTCCTATGACCGGTTCCCAGTCCTGCCTCCAGCTGTAATGATCGTTTTCTGCCAGCAGGTGGCGGCAGAGCGCAGGAAGCCGCTGATGGAGGATGTGAGCGGCGGGCAGGAGGCGCTCCCGGTGCCGGTGTGCGGGGCCCGGGAGGGGGCGGGGCAGTTCCAGGTGAGCGGGACAGGACTGGACATGGGCACAGACCCCCCACAGGAGGACATAGAGCCCCTGTGATCGCAGGGAGGCCGCTGATTGGCTGATATTGTCACATTTTCTGCACAGAGCTGCCTGCAGTCTCATGCTGGACTCTGATTGGCTGAGGATTGGGTGACACCCTCTATAGAGGAGCATACAGCTGCCTGGCATCCAATGGAAGGCTCTGATTGGCTGAGGGATTTCATTTATGTTCTCATAGAGCCCACTGTGTTCCTATGCTGGGCTCTGATTGGCTGATCTCATGCTGGGCTCTGATTGGCTGAGGGATTTCTTATACTGCCTGCATGGCGCTCATAGTATCACCAATGATCTCACGGAGCGCTCTGATTGGCTGAGGGCTGCGTTACACTTGGTGTGTTTCCTATGATAGTCGGCTCCATCTAGTGGCCGTATTGATGTACTTTCCTGTTTGTTGTATTTCAGGAGAATTCTGCATTGTGGCCTCTAGATGGGGCTGGCGATCCCAATACACACCAAGTGTAATGCAGCCCTCAGCCAATCAGAGCACTCCGCGGGATCGCTGGCGGCACTATGAGCACCATGCAGGAAGTATAGGAAATCCCTCAGCCAATCAGAGCACTCCGCGGGGATCGGGCGGCACTATGCCCAGCGTGAGGATCAGCCAATCGGAGCCCAGCGTGAGGTCAGCCAATCGGAGCCCAGCGTGAGGTCGGCCAATCGGAGCCCGGCGTGAGATCGGCCAATCGGAGCCCGGCGTGAGGTCAGCCAATCGGAGCCCGGCGTGAGGTCAGCCAATCGGAGCCCGGCGTGAGATCAGCCAATCGGAGCCCGGCGTGAGGTCGGCCAATCGAAGCCCGGCGTGAGATCGCCAATCGAAGCCCAGCGTGAGATCGGCCAATCGGAGCCCGGCGTGAGGTCAGCCAATCGGAGCCCGGTGTGAGGTCAGCCAATCGGAGCCCAGCGTGAGATCACAGGACATACACAGACAGGACGCGTTTCATGCTTATCTGAACCCCGAACGTCCCGCGTTGCAGCTTTGCAGTCCCTAGATGTGGCGGTTGCATTCGTTTTCTTTTTTTCCATTTTCACCCAGTGATCCCGCCAGCAACACACTTCCTGTCCCCGGGTGACAACTCTCACTGTACTCTATCCATGGATCCGCAGTGGTGTCACCCAGATTAGGACCCCCTTCACCTCCATTACACAGAACTTGTTTTGTAGTTTGCAGTGGAGCTGGGCCAGCATTGTTTGAAATGTCAGCTCCGGGCCCAGGAAGACAAGGACTCAGGATTTCTGGCAGGATCAGTGGGTGTGCATTGCCCCGAACTTGGTGTCATTGCCCCTCCCCCTTCTCTAAACCATAGTTGCTGTCAGCACATTGGTACCGCCCCCCCAACCATCCCATCCCCCTAAGGCCGGCCACACACGTATAGATTTTAATTCGAGTATTTTCGTTTGATTTTCTGTTAGCGGGGGAAGGGGGGGGGAATCGATGTTCATTTCCAGCAGCAGTGATGGGAGAATTCGAGGGGCGGGAAGGAACACTTTTCTCGATTGACGAATGTTCGGGCCGGTGTGCGGGGCGATCGTTCACAAATGACGTTCATTTTAAAGCCGAATGTAAAAAGCCCGTTCATCGAATGTTCAGATCTACACGTTCCTCCCAACCACTGCCAGCCTGATTTCTGCTTGCAGCTGGTGTGTGGCCACTCAAACGTCTCTCCACATTAAAGGGGATCTGAAAGAAAGAAGTCCAGAATGTTCCGTCTGTAGAAGGCCGCGGCATACATGAAACGGGGGAGGGGGCGGCGAACGCTGTGGGTGGAGCCCAGTTGGTGGCGCTGTACACGAAGGAACAAAGAGCAGAAGCTGACAATTTCATGATACGCCCCTGAGACAGGATTGGCTCTACACTCTGCGCGTTGCCAGGGGGAGCCGCGGTGACATTGCGCCAGACGCTCGTCTTCACAAGGTGAGAGGGAGGGGGGCGTCAGTCATCAGCCCTGTACGGGGCCCCTGCGTGTCGGTACAGGGACCCGGCCCACCTACAGCAATGGCTTCAGGGCGGAATGTGCGATGGATCGTTCGCAGACAGAACGCCATTGTCTTCCGAAACCGCAAACACGCCGGCCAAATATGTGCGAATCAAGTCGTGACACCGACACCGAGCTCTGCCAGCTCAGAAAATGTCAGCGTAAGGCGCCGCCCCGCCGCTCATCAATAACCGCCATTTTCCAGGGATCCGGACTTTCCGAATCTGCGTTCCTCACCACGCCGTCCGCACCCCCATGTGACTGAGAGCGCCGTCCGCACCCCACATGACCGAGAGTCGCGTCCGCACCCCATGTGACCGAGAGCGCCGTCTGCACCCCATGTGACCGAGAGCGCCTTCCGCACCCCACGTGACCGAGAGCTCCTTCCGCACCCCACGTGACCGAGAGCGCCGTCTGCACCCCATGTGACCGAGAGCGCCTTCCGCACCCCACGTGACCGAGAGCGCCGTCCGCACCCCACGTGACCGAGAGCTCCTTCCGCACCCCACGTGACCGAGAGCCGCGTCCGCACCCCACATGACTGAGAGATCGTCCGCACCCCACATGACCGAGATCGCGTCCGCACCCCACGTGACCGAGAGCGCCGTCCGCACCCCATGTGACCGAGAGCCGCGTCCGCACCCCACGTGACTGAGAGCGCCGTCCGCACCCCACGTGACTGAGAGCGCCACCCGCACCCCACGTGACTGAGAGCGCCGTCCGCACCCCATGTGACTGAGAGCGCCGTCCGCACCCCATGTGACCGAGAGCGCCGTCCGCACCCCACGTGACCGAAAGCGCCATCCGCACCTCATGTGACCGAGAGCGCCGTCCGCACCCCACGTGACTGAGAGCGCCGTCCGCACCCCACGTGACTGAGAGCGCCGTCCGCACCCCACGTGACTGAGAGCCGCGTCCGCACCCCACGTGACTGAGAGCGCCGTCCACACCCCACGTGACTGAGAGCGCCGTCCGCACCCCACGTGACTGAGAGCGCCGCCCGCACCCCACGTGACTGAGAGCGCCGTCCGCACCCCACATGACCGAGAGTCGCGTCCGCCCACCCCATGTGACCGAGAGCGCCGTCCGCACCCCATGTGACCGAGAGCGCCTTCCGCACCCCACGTGACCGAGAGCGCCGTCCGCACCCCACGTGACCGAGAGCTCCTTCCGCACCCCACGTGACCGAGAGCGCCGTCTGCACCCCATGTGACCGAGAGAGCGCCTTCCGCACCCCACGTGACCGAGAGCGCCGTCCGCACCCCACGTGACCGAGAGCTCCTTCCGCACCCCACGTGACCGAGAGCCGCGTCCGCACCCCACATGACTGAGAGATCGTCCGCACCCCACATGACCGAGAGTCGCGTCCGCACCCCACGTGACCGAGAGCGCCGTCCGCACCCCATGTGACCGAGAGCCGCGTCCGCACCCCATGTGACTGAGAGCGCCGCCCGCACCCCCGTGACTGAGAGCGCCACCCGCACCCCACGTGACTGAGAGCGCCGTCCGCACCCCATGTGACTGAGAGCGCCGTCCGCACCCCACATGACCGAGAGCGCCATCCGCACCCCACGTGACCGAAAGCGCCATCCGCACACCTCATGTGACCGAGAGCGCCGTCCGCACCCCACGTGACTGAGAGCGCCGTCCGCACCCCACGTGACTGAGAGCGCCGTCCGCACCTCACGTGACTGAGAGCCGCGTCCGCACCCCACGTGACTGAGAGCGCCGTCCGCACCCCACGTGACTGAGAGCGCGCGTCCGCACCTCACGTGACTGAGAGCCGCGTCCGCACCCCACGTGACTGAGAGCGCCGTCCACACCCCACGTGACTGAGAGCGCCGTCCGACCCACGTGACTGAGAGCGCCGCCCGCACCCCACGTGACTGAGAGCGCGTCCGCACCCCACGTGACTGAGAGCGCCGCCCGCACCCCACGTGACTGAGAGCTCTGTCCGCACCCCACGTGACTCAGAGCGCCGTCCGCACCCCACGTGACTGAGAGCCGCGTCCGCACCCCACGTGACTGAGAGCGCCGTCCGCACCCCACGTGACTGAGAGCGCCGCCCGCACCCCACGTGACTGAGAGCCGCGTCCGCACCCCACGTGACTGAGAGCGCCGTCCGCACCCCACGTGACTGAGAGCGCCGTCCGCACCCCACGTGACTGAGAGCGCCGTCCGCACCCCACGTGACCGAGAGCAAAGTATAACAATTGATGTAACCAATTGATCCTCACAGAACACATGTCGGGACGCAGCAACAAAAACCCGCCATTACTGAGAGAACTGTCCCGCCTCCCTGTACTTATATTGGTGTCCCGCCTCCTGTTCTTATATTGGTGTCCCGCCTCCCTGTACTTATATTGGTGCCCCGCCTCCCTGTACTTATATTGGTGTCCCGCCTCCCTGTACTTATATTGTGTGCCCCGCCTCCCTGTACTTATATTGGTGTCCCGCCTCCCTGTACTTATATTGGTGTCCCGCCTCCTGTTCTTATATTGGTGCCCCGCCTCCCTGTACTTATATTGGTGTCCCGCCTCCCTGTACTTATATTGGTGCCCCGCCTCCCTCTTATATTGGTGCCCCGCCTCCCTGTACTTATATTGGTGCCCCGCCTCCCTGTACTTATATTGGTGTCCCGCCTCCCTGTACTTATATTGGTGCCCCGCCTCCCTGTACTTATATTGGTGCCCGCCTCCCTGTACTTATATTGGTGCCCCGCCTCCCTGTACTTATATTGGTGCCCCGCCTCCCTGTACTTATATTGGTGCCCCGCCTCCCTGTACTTATATTGGTGTCCCGCCTCCCTGTACTTATATTGTCTTTGTCTTCTCTCTGCAGTACACTCCGGAGCTGATCGCTGGTCCCGGAGCGGATTTGGACCCGAGTGAGGTGACCATCCAGGGCTGTGAATGTCGGGGTCAGAGCTGTGTGGTGGGGCGGTGCCCGTGCCTGCTGCGGGGTGAGAACTATGTGAACGGGCGAGTGACCCTGAGCCGAGATACGCCCATCCTGGAGTGCCACGCCCTGTGTGGCTGCGCGGAGACTTGTGCCAACCGGGAGACCCAGCGCGGCCTGCAGTTCCGGCTCCAGGTGTGCAAGGTCCCCGGGAAGGGGTGGGGCCTGCACACAAAGGAGGCGGTACCCAGCGGGCGCTTTGTCTGTGAGTACGCAGGGGAGGTCCTCGGGGAGGAGGAGGCGTGTCTTAGGATAAAATCGCAGGACCCCAACGCCAACAATTACATCATCGCTGTGCGGGAACACCTCCATGACGGGCGCACGCTGCACACATATGTGGACCCGACGCGGATCGGAAACATCGGCCGCTTCCTCAATCACTCCTGCCGGCCCAATCTGGTGATGCTGCCGGTGCGTTGTCACTCCATGGTGCCGCGCTTGGCGCTCTTCGCCGCTCGCGATATTCAGGCCGGAGAGGAGTTGTGTTACGACTATTCTGGGAGGTCGTTCAACGCGGAACCTCAGAGTCCGGACAAGGAGTGTGCGGGACACGGGGGCCCGGGGGCCCCGGAAGAGGTGCCTGTGCGGCACAGACGTCTGTTCAGGGTATTTACCCTTCGATGGGTCGCTGTACGGTGACAACACGCAGAAATCTCAACTTCCAAACTCTGACTGACATTTTATTTGTATCAACTGCCATTTCTTATTTAATAAAAAACCTTTCACCTTTTCCCTCCTTTTGTTACGTCTTACAACTGCCGATCTCCTGCAGCCTCTTTGCATCCACTTCCTGTGTACAGGGTGACAACACAGGAGAGCAGCTGGGAGACAGGAAGTGTGTGTTGTCACTCCATCACAGGAAGTGCTTGAACAATAGTCTCTGTGCTTCTCCATGCAATGCAGGCAGATCATGGCTGGTGGGAGGGGCCGGCAGGGGACTGAACATAGCTTTCTGAGAACATCCCAGCCCCCGGCCTCAGTATTCCTCTCCAGAGCCCTCAGTCCTGATGCAAGCAGTGGGAGGAGTTATGCAAATAACAAAATTCCTTGATGGGTGGGCGTCAGTCTGGGGGAGTGGGCGGTCCTAGGCAGGCTGGATTTGGCAGACAACACTAAGTACCGCCCTCGTGTGATGCTGAGTTCCAGTGAATGAAAGGGGAGGGGCCAGGGACAGTCAGGATGGAGAGCAAAGAGCTAGATAATGCTGGACGTCCTCCAGCCAGGAAATGGGGCGGAGCTCTATACGACTTCCTGCAGCTTCTAATGCACATTGTGAGAAGCTCCCAGTGTGCAGTGACATCAGACTAACCAGGGGAGGAGCCAATACACCTGGGCAGGACTGAAAGGGAGGAGCCGGTACACCTGTGCAAGGCTGAAAGGGAGGAGCCAGTACACCTGTGCAAGACTGAAGGGGAGGAGCCGGTACACCTGTGCAAGACTGAAGGGGAGGAGCCACTACACCTGTGCAAGACTGAAGGAAGGGGTACACCTGTGCAAGACTGAAGGGGAGGAGCCGCTACACCTGTGCAAGACTGGAGGGGAGGAGCCGGTACACCTGTGCAAGACTGAAGGGGAGGAGCCGGTACACCTGTGCAAGACTGAAGGGGAGGAGCCGGTACACCTGCGCAAGACTGGAGGGGAGGAGCCGGTACACTTGGGCAATACTGAAGGGGAGGAGCCGGTACACCTGCGCAAGACTGGAGGGGAGGAGCCAGTACACCTATTCAAGACTGAAGGGGAGGAGCCGGTACACCTGCGCAAGACTGGAGGGGAGGAGCCGGTACAACCTATTCAGGACTGAAGGGGAGGAGCCAGTACACCTGTGCAAGACTGAAGAGATGGAGCCAGTACACCTGTGTAGTCTGATCTCCCTGCACCCTGTGTAGTCTGATCTCCCTGCACCCTGATCTCCCTGTGTAGTCTGATCTCCCTGCACCCTGTGTAGTCTGATCTCCCTGCACCCTGATCTCCCTGTGTAGTCTGATCTCCCTGCACCCTGTGTAGTCTGATCTCCCTGCACCCTGATCTCCCTGCACCCTGTGTAGTCTGATCTCCCTGCACCCTGTGTAGTCTGATCTCCCTGCACCCTGATCTCCCTGTGTAGTCTGATCTCCCTGCACCCTGTGTAGTCTGATCTCTCTGTAATATTCTACAGCGAAGTATTTATGACAGGGCGCGTCCATAACATATATAAAGCATGCAGATGGATCCCACCTCTGTCAGGTGAGAAGGGGGCGTGTCCCTGTTCTGGGTGTCGCTCTGCAGTGTGTGTAGTCTGATCTCTCTGATATTTGTGTATAAAATCGTTATGTGGAATTTCTTCGAGGATTCGTCCGTATCTATCACTGATACTATACAACGCATGGCTTGGTGAACCTCGGAGGAGATGGAAGGCCGGGATCATTTCCGATGGAATACAACGCATCCCCCGCCGTCCTGAGAATGATGGCTGCCGGTCGTGGGAGGATCTACAGCGCTGGCGAGGGTCTCTGTAACAAATGAATCTTTATTCCTGCGTACAATGTGCGTCGTCTCTTCCTCCAGCAGGCAGCCGCACAGCTGCGTCTTCTAAAGAGCCGCGGCTTATTATAGCACCGAGGGGCGTCCGGGAATCCACCCCCATAACCCATCCCTGTCACTGCTTCCTGACGGGGCCCCTCTCTCTCCTCCCCTCCCCCCCCCCCCCCACACACAGCAAGAGGTGACCACGAAAAAAAAATAATCACAAAAATAACTTTATTCATACAATTTCTGTACAGAAGGCAGGAAATACAAATCACTGGGTCAGGTCCACCTAAAACCGCTCAGACGGCGCCACCCACTGGATGCATTTATATGTGGATGGGGACTTGGCTGAGCCACAGGCACTCACGATTTCCTGCAGCTCCTCGCGTGGCCTTTCCTCCATTAGTCTCACTCCTTCTGCTGAATTCTCTGCCAGCTGGGAAAGGGAGGCGCTCCTGTCTACTGAGACTTCAGCACCAGGAGTGAGACTAAGAGCAGATTTCCCTGCAGTCGATGGGGCCGATTTGAGCCACTGACACCCTAAATGGATCCAGCTGTACGGTGGACTGACGCTTTAAAATACATGTCATCGGTAGGCTGGAAATGCTGGCTGCCTGGCTGTCATATTGCCCCCCCCCCCCCCCCCCCATTATCAGTACCTTCCGAGTGTCCAATAAACAGGCCTGCAGATCTGAAATCCTTCTAGTCGGTGAATTGAAGCATGAGGCTCACCATGACAGCCAGGCAGACGGCATCCTCAGAGGTCAGCAGTGGCAGCCGTCCATGATTACAGTGCCAGCACTGACAATTCTTCATCAAAAATGTCCATCAAACCACGACGGCCAATTAGCATCGAGCTTACCGGTCTGGTGTTGGGTCAGCCACCCTCCCCATTGGGAACAAGTTGATGGTGTCGGTGCAAAGGGGACCCCGACCCCACTGACACCCACCACACCAGCATGGGTACCGGAGGGAATGTGACCTCCTCCCATGTCTGAGGTCTAGCAGCCAATAGGTGGGCCTGACCACTGTCACATGACTAACAGTAGTGCTGGCAAAGGGTGGCAGGGTGAGCGTCCCTTAAAGGGACCTTTGTTACCCCGGAGTCACCTGTGGTGACTACATACCTGGAACAAAACCATTCTATACTGACCTGGTGTCCTGTCAATTGAAATGCACACATTCCGCAGCCTGAGCAGTCAAATCCCCATTTCCCCCACCACAGGCAATGGTTCCTCCCGCCAGCCCATACATCCCCATACAGCGGGAGAAACCACAGCGTGCGGCAGGGGAGGAAGTATTCCACAACCCACAAAAAAGTATCTCTTGAACAGAGAGGCCATGGAAGGGTAAGTATACTGCCTCTTATATCACAGGTATGTCATTCTTCACAGGTGACCCCGGGGCTGATTGCACCAGTGGTGGCACAGATGCAATTTAAAGGGGTCTTCAAATAAAAAGCTGAGATGCCGTTTGGTTGGGGCTTTCTGTAGGCACTGGGGGGTCCCACATACCACGGCATCCTGAGACAGAAAAACATCCATCCTGCATCAAAGGCTGCAAAAAACAGCCGTCAGCTGAGATACCAGATTTCACCAGCAGGGAGGCGCTGTGTGTGAGGTAGTTGCAGAATCTGTCTGAGGACATGGCTTTGTTCTGACATCGACCTCCCTGCCTGGAAAAAAACGATCTCTGCAGCAACCGTTTCTTCTGTGTGTTCTCTTGTGGCTGCACTCAGAATGGAGCAAAGCTAGCTTGGATGGGGAGCGAGGGGGGGGGGGGGGTCAATGCAGGGCAAAGTCATCGGGGTGCTCTAACACAGGCAGCTATTCCAGATCCCACTTTGATCAGAAATTCTGCATCATAGAGCGCCCCCCTTGCTTTTTCTGGTGAATTCTGGTATTGCAGCATGATGTGAACTGTGAGCTGGTCGGAGGTCTTGACGTCTGCCAGGAGCCAATGGGGGTCTGGAGATTCGATTGCCTGAGTCTACGTTCCCACTAATGCGACTCCAAAGGCGGACAATTAAGGCTCCTTTCACACTCGTGCCGCCTTGTCCTGCGACTAGCGACACCTGATGAAGGGGTCCTTCGTGACGCTGAAACGTTGCTTTGCTGTAGCTATGAGTGCGGATTAAAGCTTCGACCCTTCTTGGAGATCCGCGGTGTGCTGGGGACATTTATATATAATGACGAAACCCAGTTATTTCAATGGCGCCCGTCCCAATCTGTGCGACCCAATCTGTGCGACCCAATCTGTGCGACCCAATCTGTGCGACCCAATCTGTGCGTCCCAATCTGTGCATCCCAATCTGTGCGACCCAATCTGTGCGACCCAATCTGTGCGTCCCAATCTGTGCGACCCAATCTGGGCGACCCAATCTGTGCGACCCAATCTGTGCGACCCAATCTGGGCGACCCAATCTGGGCGACCCAATCTGGGCGTCCCAATCTGTGCGACCCAATCTGTGCGACCCAATCTGTGCGTCCCAATCTGTGCGACCCAATCTGTGCGACCCAATCTGTGCGTCCCAATCTGGGCGACCCAATCTGGGCGACCCAATCTGGGCGACCCAATCTGGGCGACCCAATCTGGGCGTCCCAATCTGTGCGACCCAATCTGTGCGACCCAATCTGGGCGACCCAATCTGGGCGACCCAATCTGGGCGACCCAATCTGGGCGACCCAATCTGGGCGTCCCAATCTGTGCGACCCAATCTGTGCGTCCCAATCTGGGCATCCCAATCTGGGCGACCCAATCTGTGCGTCCCAATCTGGGCGACCCAATCTGGGCGACCCAATCTGTGCGACCCAATCTGGGCGACCAAAGTCAAGGTGACTTTTAAAAAAAAAAGGTTCCTGCATTTTGATAGGACGTTCCTGCGACTCGCATGGCATAGAGTGCAGTCATTCGCACTGATAATCGTGCAACTTTAGAGTCACACTGGTGTGAAAGGAGCCTTGGGGTGCAAATTTGATCCGACTTTACACTCTCTGGATCAAAGTTGCAGCAAAGCAGTGCAGGCAGCTTTTCAAAATCGCTGGGACTAAGTTGCATCGATTTGATTGGGTGCCTTTGAAGTCAATGGGCTGTGACTTCATGTGTGCGTAGAGTCATTCCCCCTGAGGTCATCACAGAGGACAAGGGGGCGCTCTTTACGTCTGGAGGAATAGAAATGTCATCTCCAAACACGGAAAAAGGTTTCTTCGCAGTAAGAGCTGAGAATGTGGAATAGACTCCCTCCAGAGGTGGGTGTGGCCAATCAGTGGATTGCTGTAGGAAAGTCCTGGATTCTTTCTTGGATACACAGAATATAACTGGATATAACATTTATAGGGAACGTTGATCCCGGGAATATCCGATTATTGATCCCGAGAATATCCGATTATTGATCCCAGGAATATCCGATTATTGATCCCAGGGAATATCCAATTATTGATCCCGGGAATATCCGATTATTGATCCAGGGAATATCCGATATATTGATCCAGGGAATATCCGATTATTGATCCCGGGAATATCCGATTATTGATCCAGGGAATATCCGATTATTGATCCCGGGAATATCCGATTATTGATCCAGGGAATATCCGATCCAGGGAATATCCGATTATTGATCCAGGGAATATCCGATTATTGATCCAGGGAAATATCCGATTATTGATCCAGGGAATATCCGAATATTGATCCAGGGAATATCCGATTATTGATCCAGGGAATATCCGATTATTGATTCAGGGAATATCCGAACATTGATCCAGGGAATATCCGAACATTGATCAAGGGAATATCCATTATTGATCCCGGGAATATCCAATTATTGATCCAGGGAATATCCGATTATTGATCCAGGGAATATCCGATTATTGATCCAGGTAATATCCAATTATTGATCCAGGGAATATCCGATTGGCTCTCGGGGGGTCAGGAAGGAATGTTTCCCCTGCAGGAGATCGGATCGTGCTTTGCTGGGTTTTTTTCCCTTCCTCTGGATCCACTGTGGGTGGAGGATTATAACTTTTCTTTTTTCTATAGTTGAACTGGATGGACTTTTGTCTTTTTTCAGCCAGACTAACTATGTAACTATATATGTAACTATGTAACAAGTGGCAATAGTGGGAACGCAGCCTGAATCCCCCTTTAAATTGTACCTGTGCACCATAGGTCCGTCCCACCCGGAGCCCAATCATTGGCCTGGAATGTCGCTGTGGTACAAGTGACGGGGATATAGGAAATGGCCGCCATTGCAGCTCCGTGACAGGTGCTCTTTGGTACTTTTCTGATTGGCTGCTGTGGTTGAAGACAAATGAAACGACTCTAAATCTCAAGTTTGATTGGATTTTACACACGGATGTCCGTCCTGTGATTGGCTACAACGTGCGGTGCTGCCGCCCTTCGGCCGGGCTACTTGGCGTCTGCAGCGCAGCGGAAGCCGAGATTGGAGGCGGAGCTATCCGGGGTGTTCTGACTGCGAGCTGCGCAGCGATACCTATAGCAATAGGACTGAGAGGAGAAGGAGAGGATCAGAATCGGGAAGGATCTGTCCAATCACACCAAATGGCGCCCATCACCACTCACCTTGTGGCACATGTAAGAGCCGCCCTTCTTCACTTTGTCCTTCCCGGAGATCGGACCTTTCTGCACAGAAATGAAAACCAAAAGAGTTACAACCAAGTTGAAGGGGGGGATGGAGGGAGGATAGAAGACTGAAGGGGGGGATGGGAGAGGATAGAAAGACTGAAGGGGGGGATGGAGGGAGGATAGAAGACTGAGGGGGGGATGGAGGGAGGATAGAAGACTGAAGGGGGGGGATGGAGGGAGGATAGAAGGGATAACTGAAGGGGGGGAGGGAGGAGGATAGAAGACTGAAGGGGGGGACGGAGGGAGGATAGAAGACTGAAGGGGGGGACGGAGGGAGGATAGAAGACTGAAGGGGGGGACGGAGGGAGGATAGAAGACTGAAGGGGGGAGGGAGGGGAGAAGACTGAAGGGGGGGGATGGAAAGAGGAGAGAAGACTGAAGGGGGGGATGGAAAGAGGAGAGAAGACTGAAGGGGGGGGGTGGAAAGAGGAGAGAAGACTGAAGGGGGGATGGAAAGAGGAGAGAAGACTGAAGGGGGGATGGAAAGAGGGAGAAGACTGAAGGGGGGGATGGAAAGAGGAGAGAGAGACTGAAGGGGGGATGGGAAAGAGTAGAGAAGACTGAAGGGGGGATGGAGAGGAGACTGAAGATGGAAAGAGGAACTGAAGGGGGGATGGAGAGAGGAGAGGGGGGGGATTTAGAAAAGGAGAGAAGATGGGGGGATTTGGAGAGAGGAAACTGAAGGGGGGGATGGAGAGAGAGAGAGGAAAGGAAAGGGGGGGAGGAGAGGAGGAAGAGGAGACTGAAAGGAATGGGGGATGGAGAGAGAGGATAAGGAGACTGAAGGGGGGGTGGAAGTGGAGGATAGAAGAGAAGACTGAAGGGGGGGTGGGGGGGGATGGAGTGGGGATAGAAGACTGAGGGGGGGATGGAAGAGAGGATATGAGACTGAAGGGGGGGGATGGAGAGAGGATAGAAGACTGAAGGGGGATGGAGGGAGGATAGAAGACTGAAGGGGGATGGAGGGAGGATAGAAGACTGGAAGGGGGGGATGGAGAGAGGATATGAGAACTGAAAGGGGGGGAAGGATGGAGGGAGGATAGAAGAAGGAAAAACCCCCTGAAGGGGGAAGGAAGAGGATAGGAGACTGAAGGGGGGGATGGAGAGAGGATAGGAGATGAAAGGGGGAGGGGGTGGAGGGAGGATAGGAGACTGAAGGGGGGGGGGGGGATTGGAGGGAGGATATAATAAGACGAATGGGGGGAAATGGAGGGGAGGATAGAAGACTGAAGGGGGGGATGGAGGAGGATAGAAGACTGAAAGGGGGGAGGAGGGAGGATAGAAGACTGAAGGGGGGGATGGAGGGAGGAAAGAGAAAATGAAGGGGGGAGATACTAAACACTCTCAGACAGTTGGCAGGGATGATGAGCACAACATGTGGACCACCGAGCCACTCAGATGGGGACAATCCGGGGGTGGAGTACTCACCGGGTTTTAAGTGCGCTTCATCCGAGAGTGTTGGGTGGGTCCACCAGTCCGCCGTCCATTTCCCAGGAGATGACGATATTGTAAAGTCCAAGAAACATTGGGGGGGGAACGCTGTGACCTGCAAGAGAACATCCGACACCCCGCTGTCACCCCCACATATTACAGACAAAGCACCTATCTATGTACAACTATTCATCCAACCGTACATCCAGTGCCCCCCCCCCCCCCGGGGAAGTTTACCGGCGCGGTCTTCACATATCCGAGGGGGTGGGGGGGGTACCCGGTGTTGGTGGGTCGGGGAAGTCTCCTTGCCACACGTTGGCCAAATGAGATCAGACCCTTCGGCTGCAGCTTGTCCCCCCAGGGGAAGAGTCTTGGGGAGAGAAGGACAAGTCAGGAAGAAATCCCGCAGACAATCCGACAACCACCACAAACTGGATAAGAGAGTGACGGGCAACAAAGTATTGGATGTGTAATTTATGCACAGACTCGATCGGTGAGAGGGGCTGCATTGAGGGGGTATAAGGAATGAAGGGGGGAAGTGGGCGCGGACTAGAAGCGGGGGGGTAACTGGCATGTAATAAGACTGTTGCCAAGGGGGGATGAATCGGGGGTCACGGCGACTGATGATGGGGGTGGATGGAGGGAAGGAAGAGAAGAGCTGGGGGGGGGGTGGGAAGGGATGGAACAAGGGGAGATAGAAGACTAGAATAGGGGGGGATGGGAGGGGGATAATAGGGGAGGAATGCGACTGAAGGTGGACAGGTAAAGGGGGAAGGAATGATGGATGGAGGCAGTGACAGAAGACTGTGAAGGGGGGGATGGTTAAACAGTGGAGTATAAGTGTGAGTGAGTGAGAATAAAGGGGGGAAGTGGAGAGGAACAGAACAGTGGTTCAACTAAAGGGGGGGTGTAGAAGTTGAAGAGTAGTGGTGAAACAAAGAGAGGGGATGTAGAAGTATTAAGAAACAAACAGGAGGGGGGGGGGGGAGGGAGTTAGAATAGACTGAAGGGGGTATGGAGGGAGGACAGAAGACTGAGAGGTCGGGGGGGGGGTTGAGGGGGGACAGATGGAGGGAGGACAGAAGACTGAAGGGGGGAATGGAGGGAGGACAGAAGACTGAAGGGGGGGGAAGGGGAGGGAGGGGGATGGTGGAAGAACTGAAGGTGGGGGATGGAGGGAGGACAGAAGGAGGGAGGACAGAAGGACTGAAGGGAAGGAGGGGGGGGGTGGAGGGAGGACAGAAGACTGAAGGGGGGGATGGAGGGAGGATCGACAGACTGATGGGGGGGGATGGGAGACTGACTGAAGGGGGGGGATGGGGAGGGAGGACAGAAGACAGAAGGGGGGATGGAGGGAAAGGACAGGGGAAGACTGAAGAGGGCTAGAAGGAGGGAGGAACAGAAGGAAAGAATAGAAAGGGGGGGATAAGATGGAGGGAAGAGGTACAAGGGAAAACGAATATGGATGGGAATAGAAGAGACGTGAAGGGGGGGGGAGGGGTGGAGGCAGAAAAGCTGTGAAGGAGGGAAGGAGGAGACTATGATTAGAAGAGGAGGGGGATGGAGGGAGGACAACAAGACTGAAGGGGGGGAAAGAAAAAGGGGGACAGAAGACAGACTGAAGGGGGGGGAAATTAAAGAAAAAAAACCGGGGGGGATGGAGGCCCCCCCGCCACATTATCAGAAGAACTGAAGGGGGTCAGGAAAAGTGACTGGAGGGGGGGGGGAATGGAGGAACAGGACAGAAGAGAAAGTGGGGGGGGGGGTTGAGGAGAGGACAGAAACCGAAGGTGAAAGAACAGGGAAACGTGGGGTTGAAAAAAGAAAAGGACGAGAAGAAAAAAAAAAAAAAAGAAATCAACTTTACTGAAAAGAGGGATGGACAGAAGTTGGGGGGGGGAGGAGAAAGAAAAATTGTTGTTCAAAGATCCATAGGGCATTGGGGGGGGGTGTGAGATGAGGACAGAAGACTAAAGAAATTATATTTGGGGATGTGGCCGCCCCCCGGACAAAAGACAGAAATCTGAAGGGGGCGGGGAATGGAAAAAGAATGAGGATAGAAGATTCTTAAGGTTGGGGGGGGGTGGAGGGAGGACGAAGGGGGGATAGGAGGTGGTGTTAGGGAGGAGAAGAATCCCCTGACTGAGGGGGGGGAGGGAGAGGGGGTGGAGTGCTTGGAGAAGACCGAAAGGGCGGAGTGGGGGGGGGAGGTGGAGGGAGGACCAGGGAAAGATGAAGGGGGGGATGGAGGGAGGAACCGAAGACTGAAGGGGGGATGGTTGGGAGGATAGAAGATGAAGGGGGGGGGTGGTGGGAGGACAGAAGAGGGGAAGGCCAGGAGTTCGGTGCACAGAGATGGCGCTTGTGAGCAGGACAAGGACTAGGGGAAGGAGGACATGAGCCTCTCTAGTTAAGGGCGGAGGGATAGGATTTTTCTGGACACCATTGAAACAGGGCGATTTCTGGCAATGGAATTAGTATTAAAAAGTAGTCATGGTAGGCGGGGGGATCTGGAGTCTCCTGACCTGTCCATCATAGGTGGCAATGAGGTCATTGGTAGGCGGGGCAGGACCTGGAGTCTGGTAGAACTTGTCAATGTCAATGGGTCATGTCATGGTGGGGGCGGGGCAGGGCCTGGAGTCTCCTGACCTGTCAATCAAGCTGTGATGTCATGGCGGGAGGGGGAAACCTGGAGACTCACCTGCCAATCATATTAAACTATGTTAGTAGGAGGGACAGGCTCAGATACTGGGCTCCTCCCACAACAGTGAGTGACAACGTAATTTATGACTTCGCTACTTCACAATGATCTGCGCAGGGGGCGGGACTAGACCGGTGTGGATGGGGGGTAAGGAGCAGCCATAGCGCCCCCTGGTCCTATTAACAGTGAAATAACAGACAATGTATCACACGGGATCCTGGGGGGGGGGGTCCTTTCCATCACTGGATTTTAAATCCTGAAGATATTTATTGGCGGGAAGGTCCGGAGCAGTCAGAACGGCGTTTCTAAAAGTGCTTTGGAGTTTCTGGCTGGGTCGAATGTTGCTGCGGTCGATCGGCTGTGTCACACAGAGAGGAAGGAGGGCCCCTCACCTGTTCTCCAGGCCGCCCCGGCAGGCGTACTCCCACTCCGCCTCAGTCGCAAGACGCTTCCCGGCCCAGGTACAGAAAGTGACGGCATCGTTCCAGGAAACGTGAAGAACCGGATGATCCATCCTGCCAGTGACAGAAGAGAAACGAATAACCAAAGACATCGACTTCTACAGAGCCGCATCCAATCCGGCACATCCGGGGAGATCATCAACTTACTGCCAACTACCCAGACGGGGCAAACACTGAGGGAGATTCATGAGAAAGTATATTGTATACATTGTGTGTTTCAAAGATGTCTGACACAGATCAGCCCCTGCCTCTCACCTTGTGACTTGCTACAAAGTTACAATGTACAGTCTAATCACTGGGGAGGAGACTGAGGAAATGCCTCCTCCTCCTACAAATTTACAATGTACAGTCTGATCACTGGGGGAGGGGAGACTGAGGAAATGCCTCCTCCTCCTTCTACAAAGTTACAATGTACAGTCTGATCACCGTCACAATGGTTGCTGTATACTGTGACATGGTTTCTGTATACTGTGACATGGTTGCTGTATACCGTCACATGGATGCTGTATACTGTCACATGGGAATGGGTGTCAGACATCTCACACAGCACATTGTGTATATTAGACCCATATCGCCGCTCCCTGGGAAGACCATTCTGCTGACACAGCGGTCCCCATTTCTTCATCCTCACCATGTGCTGGGTGCAGAGGAATGCGCAGAGGAGCCGGTACAACCTGTGCAAGACTGAAGGGGAGGAGCCGGTACACCTGTGCAAGACTGAAGGGGAGGAGCCGGTACACCTGTGCAAGACTGAAGGGGAGGAGCCGGTACACACTGTGCAGGACTGAAGGGGAGGAGCCAGTACACCTGTGCAGGACTGAAGGGGAGGAGCCGGTACACCTGTGCAAGACTGAAGGGAGGAGAGCCGGTACACCCTGTGCAAGACTGAAAGGGTATGGGGAGGAAGGGGTAGCCGGTACACCTGTGCAAGACTGAATCTGAGGGAGGAGCCGGTACACCTGTGCAAGACTGAAGGGGAAGGAGCCGGTACACCTGTGCAAGACTGAAGGGGAGGAGCCGGTACATAACCTGTGCAAGACTGAAGGGGAGGAGCCAGTACACCTGTGCAAGACTGAAGGGGAGGAGCCGGTACACCTGTGCAAGACTGAAGGGGAGGAGCCGGTACACCTGTGCAAGACTGAAGGGGAGGAGCCGGTACACCTGTGCAAGACTGAAGGGGAGGAGCCGGTACAACCTGTGCAGGACTGAAGGGGAGGAGGCGGTACACTGTTTTACACCACCCTGTGCAGGGGACTGAAGGGGAGGAGCCGGTACACCTGTGCAGGACTGAAGGGGAGGATTTCCTCTCACTTCCTGTTTTTAGCTACAGGACAGGAAGTGAAGGGAAATCTCTCCATTGGGGACACCTGACAGGGGTTCTCTCCCTTACTCCATCCATAATGAAATATTTCACTTCAATAGACATAAACTCCTTTGGTTTTCCATCCCTGTGGATGGGTTTTGTACTTCTCTACAGTACCTGTTGGCGATGTCGGAATCGGGCCCCTCCGGATGCCTCCAGTCTGCTCCTTTCACCGGCAGCCACCAGGGTGCAGCCGCGACCTGAAGAACAGAAAAGGATACGGTGACATTACCACGGCGATGTGTCTCTACGAATCTCCTCCGCCGCTCCTCTGAGGCATGAAATGAGCCGCGTGTCGCAGGAGCCGCACAATCTCCTCTACATGTGGAGCAGAAGCTGGCCCGCCGGCCAATCAGCTCCAGGAAAGCAGAAAAGACAGCAACGGTACGCCGCGCCGCCCTCTCCATCTCCTCATGCTTCCCGCCACATGCGTGTCACAAACACACGGAGCCTCGCGGTATAAGGGGATGTACAGACACGGAACGTTCTCGGGGGGGGGGGGGCATGTTTTTTGTGTCATGTCAATTGTGTCATGTGTTATAAATGGCGTTATGAAGTCCCCGCAGGACACGCCCCGAGTCCCCGCAGGACAGCGCACTTATAATTGCCCGCCATCTAATTAGCACAAATGATAATTAGCCGAGGGACGCGGCGCCCCCCGAGGAAAGGCGCAGCTAATCCAAATTCAAGTTGAGCCGAGAAGCAGCAGACGGGAACTAAAGACCGGCGGAGGACGCGCTTATCTTAAAGCTGAACCGCACACAAGGTCCATCCAGTCCTGGGATTTACACAGCTCTGTCACACAGCACAGCACAGGGGACCTTTCTTTCTCTCTGATGTTCAGTAACACGTACAGGTCTTGTACCTCCCCTGCCTCTGATTGGACAGTTAAATTGAGATGAGCCCATCTCTCTGCTGTCTTCTCCAATCAGCACATCCCTTACTCTGTGTGCTGCTTCTCCCTCTCCCAGTCTGAGCTCTGCTGAGAGATTGCAAGAGGCCAATACCCTGATACCGGGTCACATGCAGGTACTGGCACTGCGTGTACTTAGAGGAATACATTGAAGGAATTATTAATAAATTCCCTTCTGATAGGATACAATGTATTCCCCCCCCCTCCCCCGTTAGGATACAATGTATTCCCCCCTGATAGGATACAATGTATCCCCCCCCATTAGGATACAATGTATCCCCTCCCCAATAGGAGACAATGTACCCCCCCCCACTTCTGATAAGATACAATGTACCCCCCCCCCCTCTGATAGTAGACAATGTACCCCCCCCCCCCCCGATAGGAGACAATGTACCCCCCCCCCCGTTAGGGTACAATGTATTCCCCCCCCCCAATAGGATACAATGTTTCCTCCCCCCGATAGGATACAATGTATCCCCCCCCCTTTCCTGATATAATACAATGTATTCCCCCCCCCCTTTCCTGATAGGATACAATGTATCCCCCCCCATTAGGATACAATGTATCCCCTCCCCAATAGGAGACAATGTACCCCCCCTTCTGATAAGATACAATGTACCCCCCCCCCTCTGATAGGAGACAATGTACCCCCCCCCCCCCCCCCCCGATAGAAGACAATGTACCCCCCCCGTTAGGGTACAATGTATTCCCCCCCCGATAGGGTACAATGTTTCCTCCCCCCGATAGGATACAATGTTTCCTCCCCCCGATAGGATACAATGTATTCCCCCCCCCCCCCTTTCCTAATAGGATACAATGTATTCCCCCCCCCCCTCTGATAGGATACAATGTATTCCCCCCCTCTGATAGGGTACAATGTATTCCCCCCCCCCCATCCCCGATAGGATACAATGTATTCCCCCCCATCCCCGATAGGATACAATGTATTCCCCCCCTCTGATAGGATACAATGTATTCCCCCCCATCCCCGATAGGGTACAATGTATTCCCCCCCATCCCCGATAGGATACAATGTATTCCCCCCCCCCCGATAGGATACAATGTATTCCCCCCTCCTCTGATAAGATACAATGTATCCCCCCCCCCCCTCTGATAAAATGTATCCCCCCCATAAGATATAATGTATTGTCTTCTGTATTCAGGAGAAACAGTTCAGGGGCGGGTCTTACAGTGTGATCAGTGCCAATCACAGGCTATTACAGTGATCATGTGACCGGGAGCCAGGTCTCCCGGCTCCTGATCGTTATTATGAGACTAGGAGCTGGCAGAAACAGCTCAGCCTCCATGCTGGAGTCAGCTGGGAATGTCTTAGTGACGTCCTAGCAACAAGGCAGGATGGGATGATGTCATCTCAGGGAGGTTTCAGCCAGGCTTCAGGAGGTACAATATGTAAATGTCCTCCACCTACAGCAGGGAATTCTGCAACTCCAACTGTAACATGTTAGCTGGAGTTAGGCTTTGTTTGCGGCATGTAAGACCACCCTGTCGTCTGTGTGACAACGCTGCTCAATGTCATTACAGAATGAAGAATGTTGTCACCCTTTTACAGAAATGGGGGAGAGGAAGGGGTAAGGGGGGAGAGAAAGAGACAGAGAGATTTACATGTGGTGGCGGGGGGGAGGGGGTGGGGGGGGACGAAATTCTATGTGCACACACAGTACTATTGCCATGGTTGCAAGGAATAGAATAGCCGGGTTCAGACAAACATAGAAAGCCAATTACTAGTGACATTCCATGACAGACCGGTGTTTGCTGCACCTACACATCGGAATAATGGAGCCCATCGAATTATAAATACATCGGTCAGAGCCGCCGTGCGACGCTCTATAGATCCCTCTGCAGACGAGCCGGCGGATCGAACAGACGGAGGATAAACGGATATATAGGATGGGTCAGGGATGGGAGGAATGCGGCACAGTGCAGTGTCTGTACCGGGAGACGGATTCCTGGGACCTGTGTGTGAGAGACCCCCCCCCCCCGACACATGGAAATCAGATCACACGGGGGGGGATCGGTCATGAGACTCTGAGGAATAAAGAGGAACCTTGGGGGGGCTCAGGGATCCCTCCGGGGCCCCAACACCACTAAGAACCTCAAAGAGACTCACCGTAACCATCCAGGTAAAGGTTACGGGGTCTTAAAGCCCAACCCCCGACCCATTTCTACTCACCTTCCCAGTCAGACAGAACAAGATATACAGACAGACGGACCTTTGTAAGGAGACAGAAAAGAGGACAGGGATGGATGGACCAAAGAAGGGACGGACGGACCAAAGGAGAGACGGACGGACCAAAGGAGAGACGGACGGACCAAAGGAGAGGACACACGGACCAAAGGAGAGACGGAGGGACCAAAGGAGAGACGGAGGGACCAAAGGAGAGACGGTGGGACCAAAGGAGAGACGGGGGGACCAAAGGAGGGACGGACGGACCAAAGGAGAGACGGAGGGACCAAAGGAGAGACGGGGGACCAAAGGAGAGACGGGGGGACCAAAGGAGAGACGGGGGGACCAAAGGAGAGACGGGGGGACCAAAGGAGGGACGGAGGGACCAAAGGAGAGACGGAGGGACCAAAGGAGAGACGCACGGACCAAAGGAGAGACGCACGGACCAAAGGAGAGACGGAGGGACCAAAGGAGAGACGGAGGGACCAAAGGAGAGACGGGGGGGACCAAAGGAGAGACGGGGGGACCAAAGGAGAGACGGGGGGACCAAAGGAGAGACGGGGGGACCAAAGGAGAGACGGGGGGACCAAAGGAGGGACGGAGGGACCAAAGGAGGGACGGAGGGACCAAAGGAGAGACGGAGGGACCAAAGGAGAGACGGAGGGACCAAAGGAGGGACGGGGGGACCAAAGGAGAGACGGAGGGACCAAAGGAGAGACGGAGGGACCAAAGGAGAGACGGAGGGACCAAAGGAGAGACGGGGGGACCAAAGGAGGGACGGAGGGACCAAAGGAGAGACGGAGGGACCAAAGGAGAGACGGGGGGACCAAAGGAGGGACGGGGGGACCAAAGGAGGGACGGGGGGACCAAAGGAGGGACGGAGGGACCAAAGGAGGGACCAAAGGAGGGACGGGGGGACCAAAGGAGGGACGGGGGGACCAAAGGAGGGACGGAGGGACCAAAGGAGGGACGGAGGGACCAAAGGAGGGACGGGGGGACCAAAGGAGGGACGGAGGGACCAAAGGAGGGACGGGGGGACCAAAGGAGAGACGGAGGGACAGAGAAAGATGTGGAAAGATGGACCCTGCATTCACTATATCCGCTCTTCCCAGACCCTGCATTCACAGATGGACCCATGAAGAGGGATGGAAAGACGGATCAAAGAAGAGGGATGGACTGAAGAAGAAGGATGGAAAGATGGACCCAAGAAGACAGATGGACTGAAGAAGAGGAATGGAAAGACGGACCCAAGAAGAGGGACGGAAAGACGGACCCAAGAAGAGGGACGGAAAGACGGACCCCAAGAAGAGGGACGGAAAGACGGACCCAAGAAGAGGGACGGAAAGACGGACCCAAGAAGAGGGACGGAAAGACGGACCCAAGAAGAGGGACGGAAAGACGGACCCAAGAAGAGGGACGGAAAGACGGACCCAAGAAGAGGGACGGAAAGACGGACCCAAGAAGACAGGAGGACTGAAGAAGAAGGATGGAAAGACGGACCCAAGAAGAGGGACAGAAAGACGGACCCAAGAAGAGGGACGGAAAGACGGACCCAAGAAGACAGGAGGACTGAAGAAGAAGGACGGAAAGACAGACCCAAGAAGAGGGACGGAAAGACGGACCCAAGAAGAGGGACGGAAAGACGGACCCAAGAAGAGGGACGGAAAGACGGACCCAAGAAGAGGGACGGAAAGACGGACCCAAGAAGAGGGACGGAAAGACGGACCCAAGAAGACAGGAGGACTGAAGAAGAAGGACGGAAAGACAGACCCAAGAAGAGGGACGGAAGGACGGACCCAAGAAGAGGGATGGAAAGTCCAGCCGAAGGGGCGACACAGGAAGACGGATAACAGACTGAAGGAGATTCGTAAAAACTAATTCAGGAAATAAGACAAAAGTGGAACAGATGATAATGAAAAAGAAACTTCCGGTCTCCGTCTATGGAGAGTTCTGATTGGTTCTTATAACTTCTGGTCTCACTTTTTCTGCTTTAGTTTTACAAAGAATGAGAGAGAACAGCGCGCCCTCCTGGGGCCCCTGACTTGTATCATAAGGTGACCCCATCATTCTTGACCAGGACAGACCACATCTCACTTACCGCCTGATCAATCGCGCTCTTCACTTCTTCACTCAGCAGACCTTCAAGTACAAAGGAGTCCCCGAACGTCTCTGCCTGGAAATAAGATGACAGGAGTCACCTCCTTGTACCCGACCAATGATAAGGGTCCCCCCCCAAGAAGACGAGGGCCATGGCCACCTGACACAGGCCCCACACTGCATCTCAGGATTCAATCCATACAGAAATGTCAGAAAGAAAACACCCCTCACGTCACAGAGACACGATATGGTGAGCACATTCATTGTAAATAGCACACCTACTGAAATCTAAAATCAGGCTCACGGTGCACTGTGACGTGATGGGGGTAAGGGGACCAAAATGTTTGCGCAAGATCTTAGAGGGCATTTAGCAGGTAAAAAAAAATCTATGTATAAAACCTAACAAAAGTGCTGTACGCCTTCCTCTGTGTGTCTCTCTGAAATAGGTTCCACTTATTGGCAAAAAGCTCCGCCCACTCTCATGTCCTTGTCCAGTAATATTGCTGGCATTGGCCATTGAGGCCACACTAGACAGGAGGATGCTGAGTGGGCAGGTTTAATATCTGGGTGGAAGGACCACACTTGCAGAGGACGCACTGACTGATAAAAGGCAGGACATTTACTTGAAGACGTCTCCATTGGTATCGGGGTAACGCGGGGTCACCATCAGACCATCAACAGTCTACAGAGGCCAAATATCTGCTATTGGATGGTGTCGGCACTCACCTCAGTCACATGACCGCTGACCTCCACAAACCGGGAGAATTCGGCATTGCTGACTTCATGGATGTCCATATAAAAGGAATCAATGTGAACCCGCCGAGCTGGACTCTCCCCATCTGGAGGGATTCCGGGGTCATCCGTCCCCATGGTGAACCCCCCGGAGGGCAGCAGGACCATCTAGGAGAAATCACACGAGAGGATCGGACTGTATTCTGCCGGAGGAGACAATTCCCCGTCCCATGACAACCCCTCCTCCACCTCCCACGACAGTCCCTCCTCCGCCTCCCACGACAGTCCCTCCACCGCCTCCCACGACAGTCCCTCCTCCGCCTCCCACGACAGTCCCTCCACCGCCTCCCACGACAGTCCCTCCACCGCCTCCCACGACAGTCCCTCCTCCGCCTCCCACGACAGTCCCTCCTCCGCCTCCCACGACAGTCCCTCCACCGCCTCCCACGACAGTCCTCCCTCCTCCGCCTCCCACGACAGTCCCTCCACCGCCTCCCACGACAGTCCCTCCACCGCCTTCCACGACAGTCCCTCCTCCGCCTCCCACGACAGTCCCTCCTCCGCCTCCCACGACAGTCCCTCCACCGCCTCCCACGACAGTCCCTCCACCGCCTCCCACGACAGTCCCTCCACCGCCTCCCACGACAGTCCCTCCTCCGCCTCCCACGACAGTCCCTCCTCCGCCTCCCACGACAGTCCCTCCTCCGCCTCCCACGACAGTCCCTCCACCGCCTCCCACGACAGTCCCTCCTCCGCCTCCCACAAGAGTCCCTCCTCCGCCCTCCCACGACAGTCCCTCCACCGCCTCCCACGACAGTCCCTCCACCGCCTCCCACGACAGTCCCTCCTCCGCCTCCCACGACAGTCCCTCCACCGCCTCCCACGACAGTCCCTCCTCCGCCTCCCACGACAGTCCCTCCACCGCCTCCCACGACAGTCCCTCCACCGCCTCCCACGACAGTCCCTCCACCGCCTCCCACGACAGTCCCTCCTCCGCCTCCCACGACAGTCCCTCCACCGCCTCCCACGACAGTCCCTCCACCGCCTCCCACGACAGTCCCTCCACCGCCTCCCACGACAGTCCCTCCACCGCCTCCCACGACAGTCCCTCCACCGCCTCCCACGACAGTCCCTCCACCGCCTCCCACGACAGTCCCTCCACCGCCTCCCACGACAGTCCCTCCACCCGCCTCCCACGACAGTCCCTCCTCCGCCTCCCCACGACAGTCCCTCCACCTCCTCCCACAACAGTCCCTCCACCTCCTCCCACAACAGTCCCTCCACCGCCTCCCACAACAGTCCCTCCACAACGCCTCCCACAACAGTCCCTCCACCTCCTCCCACAACAGTCCCTCCAACGCCTCCCACAACAGTCCCTCCTCCTCCTCCCACAACAGTCCCTCCACCGCCTCCCACGACAGTCCCTCCTCCTCCTCCCACAACAGTCCCTCCAACGCCTCCCACAACAGTCCCTCCTCCTCCTCCCACAACAGTCCCTCCTCCGCCTCCCACAACAGTCCCTCCACCGCCTCCCACAACAGTCCCTCCACCGCCTCCCACAACAGTCCCTCCACCGCCTCCCACAACAGTCCCTCCACCGCCTCCCACAACAGTCCCTCCTCCACCTCCCACAACAGTCCCTCCTCCACCTCCCACAACAGTCCCTCCTCCACCTCCCACAACAGTTACCGGTCACTCTTCCATCTCCCACCGCCAATTACGCCATTGATCGGTCCTTTCTCCTGCCCCCAACCATTGGTTAGTTCTCCCCCTCCTGTCTCCAACACCCCCCCCCCAGAGTGGACTGTCCTCCTGTTCCTGTGGCCCCATAACCCCCCCCAGATCCTGTCCAGTCTCCTGTCGGTTGGGGTCCCCCATCGTCCCCCTCCCCCAGTCCCTCTAGATCTGATAACAGTCATATCCCCCCTCCAAGGACTGCCATAAGGGGGAACAGGTAAACTTTGCCCCAGACCCCGCCCCCTATCTCCTCAGACCCCGCCCCCAAGTTATGCTAACCCCGCCTCTCCGCTCATTGGCCTCCCGGGAGTATTTGAAGGCCGCCGCCTGCTGGTGGGTGTGATCCCCGGGAGCTCCGCCCTCCCTGCTGGCCGATCCGCAGCCACAATCCGCCCCGACCGGCCGCGGACCGACCAGAGACACCACAGCGACCAGCAGAGCGGCACCGCGCGCCGCCATCTTCCCTGCTCATGTGACCCGCCCGGGGGAGGAGTCAGCTGACCGAGGAGCACGTGACCCGCCGGCCGCAGCAACAAGTGTAACAATGTAACAACCTGACACCCAATTCTATCCGCTTCTATCTGAGTGATACATAGTTACTATTCATATCATTCACATTATTTCTGTGGACAATATTTGTGTCATCATCAGTTACATTGTTATTTGTGTCATCATCAGTTACATTGTTATTTGTGTCATCAATAGTTACATTGTTATTTGTGTCATCATCAGTTACATTGTTATTTGTGTCATCATCAGTTACATTGTTATTTGTGTCATCATCAGTTACATTGTTATTTGTGTCATCAATAGTTACATTGTTATTTGTGTCATCATCAGTTACATTGTTATTTGTGTCATCATCAGTTACATTATTTGTGTCATCATCAGTTACATTGTTATTTGTGTCATCATCAGTTACATTGTTATTTGTGTCATCATCAGTTACATTGTTATTTGTGTCATCATCAGTTACATTGTTATTTGTGTCATCATCAGTTACATTGTTATTTGTGTCATCAATAGTTACATTGTTATTTGTGTCATCATCAGTTACATTGTTATTTGTGTCATCATCAGTTACATTATTTGTGTCATCATCAGTTACATTGTTATTTGTGTCATCATCAGTTACATTGTTATTTGTGTCATCATCAGTTACATTGTTATTTGTGTCATCAGTTACATTGTTATTTGTGTCATCATCAGTTACATTGTTATTTGTGTCATCATCAGTTACATTGTTATTTGTGTCATCAATAGTTACATTGTTATTTGTGTCATCAATAGTTACATTGTTATTTGTGTCATTAATAGTTACATTGTTATTTGTGTCATCAGTTACATTGTTATTTGTGTCATTAATAGTTACATTGTTATTTGTGTCATCATCAGTTACATTGTTATTTGTGTCATCATCAGTTACATTGTTATTTGTGTCATCATCAGTTACATTGTTATTTGTGTCATCAATAGTTACATTGTTATTTGTGTCATTAATAGTTACATTGTTATTTGTGTCATCAGTTACATTGTTATTTGTGTCATTAATAGTTACATTGTTATTTGTGTCATCATCAGTTACATTGTTATTTGTGTCATCATCAGTTACATTGTTATTTGTGTCATTAATAGTTACATTGTTATATGTGTCATCATCAGTTACATTGTTATTTGTGTCATCATCAGTTACATTGTTATTTGTGTCATTAATAGTTACATTGTTATATGTGTCATCATCAGTTACATTGTTATTTGTGTCATCATCAGTTACATTGTTATTTGTGTCATCATCAGTTACATTGTTATTTGTGTCATCATCAGTTACATTGTTATTTGTGTCATCATCAGTTACATTGTTATTTGTGTCATCAGTTACATTGTTATTTGTGTCATCATCAGTTACATTGTTATTTGTGTCATCATCAGTTACATTGTTATTTGTGTCATCAATAGTTACATTGTTATTTGTGTCATCATCAGTTACATTGTTATTTGTGTCATCATCAGTTACATTGTTATTTGTGTCATCATCAGTTACATTGTTATTTGTGTCATCAGTTACATTGTTATTTGTGTCATTAATAGTTACATTGTTATTTGTGTCATCATCAGTTACATTGTTACTCTATACAAGAATACATCGTTATCATTATTCTTATCTTTACTATGTACATTATTTGTTGTTGTTTTGTTATTCTATATATGTCCAGGTCAGGGGCGGACTGACCATTTGGAAACTCGGGCACTGCCCGAGGGCCCGGGGTCACTAGGGGGCCCCATGAGATGCCCCTGGTACCTTTTTCATAGGCTTTTTTGAGTTTGGGCAAGGACACAGGGGCCCCATGATCCCCTATTGCCCGGGGGCCCCATGAGTTGTCAGTCCGCCCCTGTTGGGCAAAGACACAGGGGCCCCATGATCCCCTATTGCCCGGGGCCCCATAAGTTGTCAGTCCGCCCCTGTTAGGCAAGGACACAGGGGCCCCATGATCCCCTATTGCCGGGGGCCCCATAAGTTGTCAGTCCGCCCCTGTTGGGCAAGGACACAGGGGCCCCATGATCCCCTATTGCCGGGGGCCCCATGAGTTGTCAGTCCGCCCCTGTTGGGCAAGGACACAGGGGCCCCATGATCCCCTATTGCCCGGGGGCCCCATGAGTTGTCAGTCCGCCCTTGTTGGGCAAGGACACAGGGGCCCCATGATCCCCTATTGCCCGGGGGCCCCATGAGTTGTCAGTCCACCCCTGGATATACCTAATACTATTATTATTATTCCGCATTTGGAAGAAAAAATATATTTGAAATCCTCCAATTTTTGGCCGTATTCAATATATTTCAAATAAATAAATATATATACTCTCTGTATGTTGAAACGCATTTTTATTACAAAATATATGAAAATATATGAAAATATAGTGCGTGTCTATAAAAAACACAAATCAACATTTTTGGAACGCAATTACAAATTTATGTAAAAATATGTTAAAATGACTTTTTTATATGTCAAAAAAAATCTGAAGAATATATTTTAAAGATGTAAATATATTAAATACGGCCAAAATGTAGTATTTGAAACCTATATTTCCTGCGGGGGGGTCAGTATAAGACGGGATCCCCCCCCCCATATCCTTCCTATTAATAGAATGATTTCTATCAACCTTTGTGCTGCCAGAACCAGTTTTGTTGTTTTTTTCGTACGCATCTTTAAAAAAAAACCCACTTTGTTCCTCCTGAAGAATAGGTACCCCCCCCCCCATGATACCCCCCCCCCCCATGATACCCCCCTCCCCCCCCCCCCATGATACCCCCCTCCCCCCCATGATATATTTCCTGAACTCAGACACCGTGGAGAATACAGTTGTGACCAAAATTATTCAACCCCCACTGAAATTGAGTGTTTTGGCCAGTTTGACATTGCTTTTGATCATTCAGTCATCTTGCTTACATTTACATTAAAGAGGCACTTGTAGGTCAGACAAATATAACATAACAGTTATAATGAAATAACCACAAATGTCTTTTCTGTGCTCACAGCATTATCAGTTTTATTCAACCCCCAAGTGACATTCAATCTTAGTACTTAGTACAGCATCCTTTTACAGTTATAACAGCTTTTAAACGTGAAGCATAGCTTGACACAAGTGTCTTGCAGCGATCTACGGGTATCTTCGCCCATTCTTCATGGGCAAAGGCCTCCAGTTCAGTCACATTCTTAGGCTTGCGCACTGCAACTGCTTTCTTTAAGTCCCACCAGAGGTTCTCAATCGGATTTAAGTCTGGTGACTGCGATGGCCACTCCAAAATGTTCCAGCCTTTCCTCTGCAACCATGCTCTAGTGGACTTGGAGGTATGCTTGGGATCATTGTCCTGTTGAAAGGTCCAACGTCTCCCAAGCCTCAGGTGTGTGACGGACTGCATCACGTTTCCATCCAATATCTCCTGGTACTGAAGAGAATTCATGGTACCTTGCACACGCTGAAGCTTCCCTGTACCTGCAGAAGCAAAACAGCCCCAAAGCATGATTGACCCTCCACCATGCTTCACAGTAGGCAAGGTGTTCTTTTCATCATAGGCCTTGTTCTTCCTCCTCCAAACATAGCGTTGATCCATGGGCCCAAACAGTTCTAATTTTGTTTCATCAGTCCACAGAACACTATCCCACAACTTTTGTGGTTTGTCCACATGGCTTTTGGCATACTGCAGTCGACTCTTCTTATTCTTTGGAGACAGCAAGGGGGTACGCCTGGGAGTTCTGGCACGGAGGCCTTCATTACGCAGTGTGCGTCTTATTGTCTGGGCTGAAACTTCTGTACCCACATCTGACAAATCTTTTCTCAGTTCCTCAGCAGTCACACGGGGACTTCTCTCCACTCTACGCTTCAGGTAGCGCACAGCAGTCGAAGTCAGCATCTTCTTTCTGCCACGACCAGGTAGCGTTTCAACAGTGCCCTTTGCCTTGAATTTGCGAATGATGCTTCCTAAGGTGTCTCTTGGTATGTTTAACATCTTTGCAATCTTCTTATAGCCATTGCCCTTCCTGTGAAGAGAAATCACCTCTTCTCTTGTCTTCCTGGACCATTCTCTTGCCTTCACCATGTTTGTAACCACACCAGTAAATGTCTAGAAGGAGCTGAGTATCACAGTCATTTTAAAGCTGCCTAATTGGTGCTTATTATGCTTGATTGCTGCTCGGTGACATCCACAGGTGTTTTCAATACCTGATGGAAAGCACCTGTATGAACCTCTGTTCTTCAGAGTGGTAGTCTTTAAGGGGTTGAATAATTGTGGCAATGAAGAAACCACATAAGAACCATTTACTACTGTATTACATAAACAATTGATGTCATTTTAGTTGCATTTGGGTAGTTACAACGTCCTTGTAGGATTTGATTCTGAATACAATTCCAAATGTACACTATAGTCCCTAAACCCCTTTACAGCATTGGGGGTTGAATAATTTTGGTCACAACTGTAAATGGCGGTACTTCCTGTTTGCATGTCACATGATATCAGCACAAAGTTTTATCAAGTGAAAATTTTCAGTAAAAAAACCCCAAAACACTAAATTTAATTTTAGGCGCAGAAACGCCATATATGGTCCAATTTTTTTATTTTTTTAAATATAAAAGATGAAGTTGCATCGAGTCAGTAGATACCAAACATGTCCGGGCTTACAATTGGGTGATCCGGAGAAATGACGGCAAACTTGGGTCCCCTATTGTTTCCATAGGCGATGCTGGAAAAGCTCCTCCAGGTCATCAGTTTTCAGTTATCTATGAATAACGGGCCGATGATGATTGATCTCACTCTGGTGAGTGCGGCGATGCGGAACATGTGATGCGCAATTAACATTTTTGTATGTAGATGCATGTTTCCATGTACTGTATATCTGTATGTGGGGGCGGGGCAGGCTCAAAGTTTTTTTTGGGGGGCGGCTGCATTCCTTTTCCTTTTTTTTAGTCTTTTTCACCTCTGTTCTCACCTGATGATCCGGCCAGTAACACCCGTCCTGTATTAGAGCGCCCCCACTCTGGAGGAAGGAGCACAGGAGGCACCTTTGGACCGCAGCATTATCAGTCTGGGGGGGAGGGGAGTGTTCGATGGACTAGCAGATTTAGATACACTAACACATTGCAGCCAAACCCCGCCTCACACTTTATAATCCATTACAGTCAGTTTTGTTCCTTTTTTGGGATAAAGGTTTTCCATCAATAAATAAAAGTGGTCAATGGTTTGTCTCATCACTGCAATGGTGCATCTTGAAGAAAGCTTGTTCTATTGAAAAACAAATCCTGCGATATTCATGTCGGTTTGCAGCGGAGTTGGACTTTAATATGATGTCCCAGCATGCACTGCACGCCCTGCAGGCCCCCGACATTGTACATCATGTCAGTCTTTCCAGGAGACATTTGTGTATTAATGGTGACAGCGAGCCGAGCCGAACACGAAGCATGGAGTCAGCTCAGCTCATGGAGTCCTCTCCTGCCTGCAGGGCTTTCATTGGCCGGTTCTCGCTGCCTCTGCAGCTTTCATTGGCCGGTTCTCGCTGCGTCTGCAGCTTTGATGGAATCCTTGGCTGTCTGTTACTTTCGGTGCTTTTCAAGCATGAGTTCGGCTCTTCTGCCTGGCAGGATTGGGGCCCCCGGTGCAAATTCCAACCATGACACCACCCGCATGGAGTTTGCATTTTCTTTATATTTTCTCCCTGTGCTTGTGCAGGGTTTCCTCCAACCAGTGCCAGAACAAGGAAATACAGTGCATAGGGCACAGATGGCAAGTTGCATGCCCACCAGAGTCCCCTTTACATCAGCTGTCCCCAGTAGAGTCCCCCTTTACATCAGCTGTCCCCAGTAGATTCCCCTTTACATCAGCTGTCCCCAGTAGAGTCCACCTTTACATCAGCTGTCCCCAGTAGAGTCCACCTTTACATCAGCTGTCCCCAGTAGATTCCCCCTTTACATCAGGTGTCCCCAGTAGATTCCCCTTTACATCAGCTGTCCCCAGTAGAGTCCCCCTTTACATCAGGTGTCCCCAGTAGATTCCCCCTTTACATCAGGTGTCCCCAGTAGATTCCCCCTTTACATCAGGTGTCCCCAGTAGAGTCCCCCTTTACATCAGCTGTCCCCAGTAGAGTCCCCCTTTACATCAGGTGTCCCCAGTAGAGTCCCCCTTTACTTGAGGTGTCCCCAGTAGAGTCCCCCTTTACATCAGGTGTCCCCAGTAGATTCCCCTTTACATCAGGTGTCCCCAGTAGATTCCCCTTTACATCAGCTGTCCCCAGTAGATTCCCCCTTTACATCAGGTGTCCCCAGTAGAGTCCCCCTTTACATCAGGTGTCCCCAGTAGAGTCCCCCTTTACATCAGTTGTCCCCAGTAGAATCCCCCTTTACATCGGTGTCCCCAGTAGAGTCCCCCTTTACATCAGGTGTCCCCAGTAGAGTCCCCCTTTACATCAGGTGTCCCCAGTAGAGTCCCCCTTTACATCAGGTGTCCCCAGTAGAATCCCCCTTTACATCAGTGTCCCCAGTAGAGTCCCCTTTACATCAGGTGTCCCCAGTAGATTCCCCCTTTTACATCAGGTGTCCCCAGTAGATTCCCCCTTTTACATCAGGTGTCCCCAGTAGAGTCCCCCTTTACATCAGGTGTCCCCAGTAGAGTCCCCCTTTACATCAGGTGTCCCCAGTAGAGTCCCCCTTTACATCAGGTGTCCCCAGTTGAGTCCCCCTTTACATCAGGTGTCCCAGTAGAGTCCCCTTTACATCAGGTGTCCCCAGTTGAGTCCCCCTTTACATCAGGTGTCCCCAGTAGAGTCCCCCTTTACATCAGGTGTCCCCAGTAGAGTCCCCCTTTACATCAGGTGTCCCCAGTAGAGTCCCCCTTTACTTGAGGTGTCCCCAGTAGAGTCCCCTTTTACATCAAGTGTCCCCAGTAGATTCTCCCTTTACATCGGTGTCCCCAGTAGAGTCCCCCTTTACATCGGTGTCCCCAGTAGAGTCCCCCTTTACATCGATGTCCCCAGTAGAGTCCCCCTTTACATCAGGTGTCCCCAGTAGAGTCTCCCTTTACATTAGGTGTCCCCAGTAGAGTCCCCCTTTACATCAGGTGTCCCCAGTAGAGTCTCCCTTTACATTAGGTGTCCCCAGTAGAGTCCCCCTTTACATCAGGTGTCCCCAGTAGAATCCCCCTTTACATCGGTGTCCCCATGCTTCCGGGTTGGTGACCCTCCCCCCTTCCCCCTTGTGCTGGCAGATCAGTACTCACTGGAATGGAGTCAGCTTCTTCTCTCTAGTCATGTGACATGTCACATGACAAGGGGAGAGAGAAGGGACACAGTCTGCCCTCCTGCAGCGCAGCACTGAGACTCAGGACAGTCCTCTCTCTCAGCGCCGGATCATTTCCACCCCATGCAGACTAGAGGGAAGGGAAAGCCAAATCCTCCCTCCAGCAACAGCTATCAGCCACTGCTCCTTCTGACAGAGGTGACACTGCAGTCACTCCTGTCAGTAAGATGAGCAGCCAACTTGGCAGAGCCCCCCCCCTCAATACAGCACCCGGGGCAGGTGCTCACTCGCTTCCCTCCCCCCCCCCTCTTGTCCCGGCCCCGCCTCCTACATGCCAAAGACATGCTGGTCAGTGATTTGGCTCCAGTCTACATTGGCCCCAGTATATGAATCTGAAATGTGGACATTGAAGTGTAAGCTCCTTGGGGGCGGGAACTGATGCACAGTATATAAAGCAGGGAATTTCATTGTCCGCTCTCCCTGTAATAAATGATAAATGTCCCTGTGTCCTCCTGCAGAGATCTCCAGAGTGCAGAGACACGAACCAGGGGCAGACTGACAACTCATGGGGCCCCCGAGCAATAGGGGATCAAGGGGCCCCTGTGTCCTCCTGCAGAGATCTCCAGAGTGCAGAGACACGAACCAGGGGCAGACTGACAACTCATGGGGCCCCCGAGCAATAGGGGATCAAGGGGCCCCTGTGTCCTCCTGCAGAGATCATCTCCACAGTGCAGAGACACGACCAGGGGCAGACTGACAACTCATGGGGCCCTCGAGCAATAAGGGATCATGGGGCCCCTGTGTCCTCCTGCAGAGATCATCTCCAGAGTGCACAGACACGACCAGGGGCAGACTGACAACTCATGGGGCCCTCGAGCAATAGGGGATCATGGGGCCCCTGTGTCCTCCTGCAGAGATCATCTCCACAGTGCAGAGACATGACCAGGGGAAGACTGACAACTCATGGGGCCCCTGGGCAATAGGGGATCATGGGGCCCCTGTGTCCTCCTGCAGAGATCATCTCCAGAGTGCAGAGACACGACCAGGGGCAGACTGACAACTCATGGGGCCCCCAAGCAATAGGGGATCATGGGGCCCCAGTGTCCTCCTGCAGAGATCAGAGATCATCTCCACACTGCAGAGACATGACCAGAGGTAGACTGACAACTCATAGGGCCCCCGGGCAATAGGGGATCATGGGGCCCCTGTGTCCTCCTGCAGAGATCATCTCCACAGTGCAGAGACATGACCAGGGGAAGATTGACAACTCATGGGGCCCCCCGGGCAATAGGGGATCATGGGGCCCCTGTGTCCTCCTGCAGAGATCATTTCCAGAGTGCAGAGACACGACCAGAGGCAGACTGACAACTCATGGGGCCCCCGGGCAATAGGGGATCATGGGGCCCCTGTGTCCTCGCCCACACCCAAAAAAGCCAATGAAAGGTACCAGGGGCATCTCATGGGGCCCCCTACTGATCCCAGGCCCTCGGGCAGTGCCTGAGTGCTCCAATGGTCAGTCCGCCCCTGGACACGACACAAAGCTTCCGTCTGGATACAATGGAATCCAATGCAGAGAAGACAGCGAGGTCATCCCCAGGCAACAGGAACAGCGCCCCCCGATGGAGGAGAGATTCAGCTGTGCAAATGTTTCGGGATCAGTCTGGGGGCGACGTCTGCAAACGGGAAAATTCCCCTTCCATGGGTGAGCTCGTCATATCCGGCCGAGGGCTGACAGCTGACCCAGGACACCGGGCAGCATGATGAGTACGGATGGGGGGGGGGGGGGTGTGATTCCGGTGAAATTGGTTTTGTAGGGAAATGACTGCTTTAGCTGGTGCCAAAAATGTGCTGAAATTAGTCCCAAATTTACCATGGGGACTGTTTAGAAGAATTGTGCTTGAAAAGGGCAGCACAGCGGCTAAATGATTAGCACTTACGCCTGGCAGTACTCGGGTCGTTGGTTCAAATCCCAATCATGGCACTGCCTGCCTGGAGTTTGCATGTTCTCCCTGTGCCTGTGTGGGTTTCCTCCGGGTACTCAGGTTTCCTCCCACACTCCAAAGATATGCTGGTAGGTTAATTGGATCCTGTCTAAATTGGCCCTTGTATATGAATGTGAGTTAGGGACTTTAGATTGTACGCTCCTCAGGGGCGGGGACTGGGGTGAATGTACAATATATATGTAAAGTGCTGAGTACATTGACGGCGCCATATAAGTGCCTGAAATAAATAATCACATGGGTTTGTTTACTATGAAAGACATTGCTGGTGATTGGCGGCTTTATCCATAAATAAACGCTGACCCTCTGCATATAAATCCCCCCAGACCCCTAGGAAGGGGCATTGCGGGGAAATAAAGAGCGGGATTGTATATTCACCACCCAGAGGTTATGTCTTTATTGTCATATTAAGAGTTATAAAACAACCGCATTCAGTATACATCCCGGGTGGGAGATATTCAGTGGACATGTGTATAAGGCCGGCCATACATGGGTCAAAATTCAACCGATTTTTCGTCCAAAACCTAAGAACAATCGGTCGATTTTTGCTCTGTTAGTGGGGTCAATGGCACCGGCCGATTTTCTTGGTTCCTCCCCTTTTTGGTGATCGGGCATGTCGGAAAATTTGTGAAAAACAACCGATTTTCTACTTAATGATGGTCAAATTGTACGATCGTTTTTCCAAAAAGAATCTGCGCCATGAGCCGTGACCTGGAAGGAACAGGAGTTTCTCCTGTTATATGGGGGGAGCTTTATGACTCGGTCGGCCGATTTTCAAAATCATTGATGGCGCCATCGGATTACCGAGCGAACGACGGTTTCGATTTTCGGACTAAAAATCGAACCATGTATGGCCTGCATTTGTATTGCAGATCAATGCATTTCATGAGTTCCCTCGCTCCCTCAGGATCCTCGCCTTTTATACATACACATTAGGGACGCACCGAAACTTCAGCCGCCGAAACATATCGTCCGAAAATAGCCCTATTGGCATTTCGCCGATAGGAAAAATGTAGCCGATACAGGTGCCGATACAGGGGACTGTGTGTATTACAGATGGGGGGGGGGGGTAAAAGCAGCAGAGGATACAGTAACTGGCTGCCTATATGTCAATGCCGCTTCTTCGGTGTAATTACCGGCTTTTTTCCCTTTATTATAGCTCAGGGAAGGAACTGTCATTCTCAGAGGGCTAAAGGAAACAAACGGGGCGTGGTCACTCAGTGATGTCACCCAGGGACCCCGCCCCTTTGTTTCCTTTAGCTTCGGGGAGAGTGACAGCTCATTCTCTGAGCTACAATGAAGAGGAAAAAAAACGGTAATTACATTTAAAAATTGGCACCGGCCTATAGTGACAGCCAGTGAGGGAGCCTCTCTGTATACAGCGCTCTCCTCTCTGTATACAGCGCTCTCCTCTCTGTATACAGCGCTCTCCTCTCTGTATACAGCGCTCTCCTCTCTGTATACAGCGCTCTCCTCTCTGTATACACCGCTCTCCTCTCTGTATACAGCGCTCTCCTCTCTGTATACACCGCTCTCCTCTCTGTATACAGCGCTCTCCTCTCTGTATACACCGCTCTCCTCTCTGTATACAGCGCTCTCCTCTCTGTATACAGCGCTCTCCTCTCTGTATACAGCGCTCTCCTCTCTGTATACACCGCTCTCCTCTCTGTATACACCGCTCTCCTCTCTGTATACACCGCTCTCCTCTCTGTATACAGCGCTCTCCTCACTGTATACAGCGCTCTCCTCACTGTATACAGCGCTCTCCTCTCTGTATACAGCGCTCTCCTCACTGTATACAGCGCTCTCCTCTCTGTATACAGCGCTCTCCTCTCTGTACACAGCGCTCTCCTCTCTGTATACACTGCTCCTCTCCTGCCCCCTCCTTGCACACACTGCCCCCCCACCCCCCTCCAAAGAGGACCTGTCACTGATATGCTATCACACTGCAGACTATTGGCCCCTATGTGATGGCAATGAAATCAGAAGTTACAAAACCCCCCCAACATTAATAACCACTTGCCAACCGCACTATATCCGAGCGATGGCTACAACGTGGGGGTCCAGTTCTGGGAGGGCATCATATGTCCTCCTCCCAGAACACGCCCTCCCTGCGCACCCCCAGCTGATCACGTGATGTGGTAAAGGCCAATCACAACACACTATAGAATGTGTGAGAATGGCGCAGAACGCGGCGCTGACGTCGGGTTCCGCTCACATTGACGCCTCTATAGAATGTGTGAGAATGGCGCAGAACGCGGCGCTGACATCGGGTTCCGCTCACATTGACACCTCTATAGATTGTGTGAGAATGACAAAGAACGCAGCACTGACGTCGGGTTCCGCTCACATTGAAACCTCTATAGAATGCGTGAGAATGGCGCAGAACGCGGTGCTGACATCGGGTTCCGCTCACATTGACACTTCTATAGATTGTGTGAGAATGGCGCAGAACACGGCGCTGACGTCGGGTTCCGCTCACATTGACACCTCTAAAGATTGTGTGAGAATGGCGCAGAACGCGGTGCTGACATCGGGTTCCGCTCACATTGACACTTCTATAGATTGTGTGAGAATGGCGCAGAACACGGCGCTGACGTCGGGTTCCGCTCACATTGACACCTCTATAGAATGTGTGAGAATGGCGCAGAATGCGGCGCTGACATCGGGTTCCGCTCACATTGACACCTCTATAGAATGTGTGAGAATGGCGCAGAACGCGGTGCTGACGTCAGGTTCCGCTCACATTGACACCTCTATAGAATGCGTGAGAATGGCGCAGAACGCGGTGCTGACGTCAGGTTCCGCTCACATTGACTCCTCTATAGAATGTGTGAGAATGGCGCAGAATGCGGCGCTGACGTCGGGTTCCGCTCACATTGACTCCTCTATAGAATGTGTGAGAATGGCGCAGAATGCGGCGCTGACGTCGGGTTCCGCTCACATTGACACCTCTATAGAATGTGTGAGAATGGCGCAGAACGCGGCGCTGACGTCGGGTTCCGCTCACATTGACACCTCTATAGAATGTGTGAGATTGGCGCAGAACGCGGAGCTGACATCGGGTTCCGCTCACATTGACACCTCTATAGAATGTGTGAGAATGGCGCAGAACGCGGAGCTGACATCGGGTTCCGCTCACATTGACACCTCTATGTATAATCATCACACCGGAAACAATTCGAGTCGGAATACAGGAGCCGACCTCTCCTGACAACAGCGCGGCGTCATAGAACAGTCCGGGGCCTTCACTGGCCTGCCTGAGGTCCGGACCTTTCACCAACTGGAAATTAAAACTACGACACGGAACGCCCCGGACTGTGGAGCGGCTAGAATCCGATATCGGGCAAGAATGGGCCGACATTCCTCTCCCGGAACTCCAGACACCTCACTTCCCAGACCTCTGCAGAGTGTTATGGGGGGGTGGCTGCATCGGGCTGGACGCGGCCTGACTGCGCTGAAACGCGTTGCTGCCAGCGATTTCACAACGGCCTGATTTGCTTCTTAACATCTTCAATTTTCTTAGTTTAACCTCTTCATGCAAATGTGCGACCTCCCGATGTCTGGGCCTAGACGCCGAGCAGCCGCACATTTGCGTTCTATTAAAAAAGAACATATGTGCTGAGAGCGCGCGCCCTGCGCACTCCCTGCACACACGTCCGGTACTCACGGACAGGTCCCGATCTCTTTCGATCAGGACCTTTCCGGCGTGTCACATGACCCTAAACCCCGCCTCCCAGCTTCTGAAACCCTAAACGGGCCGGGAGGCGCCGGTGTGAAGGGGTTTAAACATTTGATTTGTTTTCGATGTTTTATTGTGAATCAAATATGAGATCTGTAGATCATCGCCTTTTGTAGATTCTGCACAGCGCCCCGGTCTCCAGCTATCCTGGAATTGGGGTTGTATGGGGCAACCTGCTCCTGCACTGCTCCTGTCCGCCCGTTTATGTACATGGGCCGGACGGGAAGCGGTTAAGATGGGCCCACAAGTTCTCCGTAGGGTTTGGGTCTGGTGAGGAAGGCGGCCATGTCATTATTCTTTCATCGTTAAGGCCGCTACTGGCTAGCCATGCAGTGGACTGCTTCGATGCATGCGATGGGGCATCGTCCTGTATGAATATCATGGTCTTCCTGAAAGATGCAGACCTTCACTGCTTGAAGAAAATGTCTTCTGAAAACTGGCAGTAGGTTTGGGAGTTGATTTTGAGTCCAACTTCAACTCAAAAAGGTCCAACCAGCTCATCTTTTAAAAACACCAACCCATACCAGTACCCCACCTCCACCTTGCTGGTGTCTGAGTCGAAGTGGAGCTCTGGGCCCGTTACTGATTCATCCATCTGGTCCGTCAAGAGTCACTCTCATCTCATCAGTCCATAAAACCATTGAAAAATCTGCCTTCAGATACTGGGGGTAAGGATGATCATGAGAAAAGTGAGGGATCAGCCCAGAACTACAAGGGAGGAGTTTGTGAAGGAACTCCAGGCAGTTGGGACCACAGTCATCAAACAAACCATTGGTAACATAATACGCCG